CTCTCTCTCTCTCTCTCTCTCTCTCTCTCTCTCTCTCTCTCTCTCTCTCTCTCTCTCTCTCTCTCTCTCTCTTGCGCGCGCACGCACAATCAGGGGATATTTTGCTATAACAGTTTGTGTTGTCTTTTTCTACAATGTCTCAAGCCCTGGCTTTCACCAATGGTTCACAGCATGACACTTCACCTGTTGTGTTTCCGCAGTGGACTTCGCCGCCTTAGCGGAGCACATTTGCTGGTTGTGACAGAGCTATCTATCGTCTTCACCCCGAGTCGAACGAACGCGCCGTCATGATGCTAGCTGTATTTCAGTCTAGATACAGCGTTACATGACCAGGCATTCTATTTGGATGATGACGGTCGCTGTGTTTCATTGAGGGATTTCCTTCCAAGCTGCTTCAGGTGATGTGGTGAATTTACAGGTGAATTTACAGTTTGTGAATTTCCAGCAGGTGCTGCTCCCCACCAATAGATTGGAGCAACCAGGTGGCCCGCTAGGAGCGGGTGCTCATATCACCCCTCCTAGGTAGCGTGGTAGCGTGGTTTTCCGAAAAAAAAAAAAAAAAAAAAAAAAAAAAAAAGGAAGAAGAAGAAAATGATGATGAGAAGAAGAAGAAAAGAAGTGAGGAAGAAAAAAAAAAAAAAAAAAAAAAAAAAAAAAAACAGTTTGTCAAAATATATCAGGGATCGTTTCAAATTTTGAGCTCTTGATCTGTTTCTGAACAGTTGGTTATCTGCCTGCCCCTGCCTGATATATATATGCCTTTGGCACTGGGCCGGTTGTTCATAAAAATTATGAAACTATATATTTATATAGTATATAGTATATAGTATATACATATAAACTAGGCTACCAGCCAAGGGCCACCGGGTCGCCTTGTTTTCCCGGGCAGCCCAGCCATGAAAGGGCCAGGATAGGTCCCAGCAAAAAGAAAGAAAAAAAAATCCAAAAATTCCGGAAAAAAAACTATGTTATGCAGAAAAATAAACGGAACAACTTTTGCCTTAGGGTCACGTCGAAATTCTTTACCAAATTGGAAATAAAAATAAATTTAATAAAATTGTTTTTTTTTTTTGTTTTTTTTTTTTTGGGCCCGGCCGGGCTAGGGTATATAAATGAACTGTGGTTTAAAGTTTAAACACTGTTTTTTTAACTTTGTTCTCCCCATCTACTTGAAATCAGGACCCTCTATTTTTGGTGAGCTGTGAAGCAGCCGCGAAGCTCAAGCTGAAATACAGGAAAGAGCCTCTGCAGTTCAAATTGCTGACCTGGCAAGGTGACGTGGCATCGCTACTTGCACTGGAGGTGAGCTAATGATTGCCATACTGTTCAGAAGTTTCAATTTTTTTGCTAGTATTTTAGGAGGTTTTTTTCTTCTTCCTTTTGTTTCCTTTTTTCTTTTTTAGAGGGATGCTGCTGCTTTGAGATATCATCATGCTAAAAGCACCAGTACCTCCGAGCCTATTTTCGACAAGTCGTGGCCAGCACCCGGACTTTTAGGAGGCCGAGCCTGCCGTTGCCGTCGTTTTGTTTCGGCCTCCTGAAAGGTCAGAGGCCGATTATTTTTGAACCGTCAAAGGTACTGGTGGTTAAAAAAAAAAAAA